CCAGACTGTGTCAGATTCCTGAAGTCGGGATAAGGACACCATTCTGAAAACACCTCTTTGCATCTCTTGCCAGCACCTATTCACCTGAAAAAACCCACAAAGATTTTCATGCAGATATTTATAATAACTTGAAAAGGAAAACATCATTCTCAATGTCATGGTACCACAAGTCCTGAGCTTCTCATCTTATTGTTAGACACAACTGCTTTCTTTCCCCTCCTCCTCATTTTAACAGAAGCAAAAGTATTTAATTTAATCCACCCAGAAGCAATGACAGAGTCAGCAGCTGATATATAGCTAGTGCTGGTTAGAACTCTGAATTACTGTTTTGTGAAGAATGTCAACATTTTGACATTTTTTGCTATTCTCAGGGTAGAAAGGAACTGCATATTCATCTGAAAATTTTGAAATGTCACACTGAACTTGCAAATTCAACTCTGAATTTCAGAATTTCACCTTCTATTTCATTTTACATTAGCTTTCAGTCTTTTTTAATTCATTAAATGCCGAAGTAGAATATTTTAAATAAATATTTTTGAATTTTACTTTGTTTTGCTTTATTTGAGCATATAAAAATGGGAAGCCACTGTCCCACACTGATAGAAAAGCAACTTAAATCATAATTTTACACTGTCTCCAAATTCCATCCATTGAAAATTTTTTTATACATGACTTTTGTGAAGAAGACACTTGGGTGAAGACATAAAATTTTGGGTGAGGAGACACTTTGGCGGAGGCAAGCAATGCAAAGCAAGCTGCCTGCCTTTCTCCACAAGTCAAAAGCAACACTGGGAAGGAATATATCCCTGTGACAGCAGGAGGGAATCTGGGAGACCGCTTTTATTCATCTGCAGAGAAGGAAAAATTTCTAGTCACTGAACTAACAGCAAACAGCAAGAGAATTAGTCTCAGTTCAAACACAAGTGCCGGAGGTATCTCCTTTATGTGAGTGATAGCAGACTGCAAAAATTATTAAACCAGTACAAGAGAGGTGCACCAGTCACAGCGAAGGGCACTGGTGAGAACACGTTTCTGAGGCAAAGATGAAACTTCCAAGCAAATGTCTCCCTCATAGGTATTAAATCAGTGGGAAAACTGACAAAAGCTGTGTAAAATGAGAAAACAGAAAGCTGTCACAGTCCTTTTTGGGCACTGCAAGCTGCATGAGACCATGTCAGGGCTGGGTACAGCAGGCAGCAAAGAAATCATCTCCAGTAGTGCGGAAACCACGCGGTGGCTGAGGTCCGCTAGTCACGAGCGGCCACCACCAGCTAAACCATGCCACAGGCATGAGCTGCCTCATTAAATCCTCCTGTTTACAGCTGTCTCCCCACTTTTCATGGTGCTCACCTGGAAAGGTGTGCAAAACGGAGGGGCTGTCTGAAGAGGAGGCCATGCTCCTCTATAGGTGTGAATGGGGATGATGGGACCCAGAGCTGACCAGCTTAAGGAACTGGGGCACTTGTGCCATGTCTGGGAGAACAGACACAGCTACCAAAGGGACATTGCTCCCTTTGTCCTTTCAACAAATCTGCAGCAAAGGAATGTGGATTTGGATGCTGTACTAAATCAGAGCGACAAGACACTTCTGTCCTCACCATATTGGTAAATTGCTCTCAAGAGATCAATGTTTCTGCTAAGATTTCCACCATTTTGGACCAGAACCACAAAGCTCAAATGGCTTTCTAGATGTTGAAAACATGAAGGTCCCTTTAGGAGGGACTATGCTTCCCAAAGCCTATGAGTAGAATTAGGAGATTAACAGATCTAAGAAGATCAGATCTCCCAGAGCCACCCCTCAAATACACCAGGATATACATGAGGTCTGCTCCTACAAATCCACTTGGGAGATATGATAGTGTCTCAAAAATGCTCAAACGTGACCAAAAACAGTGAAAGGACCCAGACCTATTTGGAGATATGAAAAATCAACAAGGGTTTTCATTGTCTTAACCAGTCCAGCACAGAAACATCTGGTGATAGAGGAGCTGGTTGGTGGTGGGAATTTACCAGTCCTGCTTTGGCCACAGGGCAAAGTTCTGGGAATACTCCACGTCAGAAACTGGCTTTGTCATATGTCGACTATGGACATCTTGGTGCCAGAAATGAGTGTACCTAATGAACCACACTGGCCTTGTGCCCTGTGCCCTTTGGGAGAGGAGAAGTTAAGAGACAGGCTCCAGATTTTGACTTGGTCTGAACAGACATAGCAAGAGCAGGAGAGGAGCCAAATGGTTTCATGAGAACTCTGCTGCTACTCCTACAGAAGTCCCCACCACCCACCATCCAGAAGAGAAAGCTCATGAGGTTTTTTGGCTGTTGAAGCACATGTAGGTTTAAATGAGGACATGCACTCCACCAGATCATTTCCTAACTAGGACTTGGGCACTAATGCTAGACAGGGTGCTGCAAAAGACTAAAATGCCCAGAGGCTTCACATGCATGACTCCCACTCCTTAAGTGGCCCAAGGACAGAATGCAACACGGAATTGTGTGTGAGTAAAACTCATTGTTTTCAGCAGGCTTTAAGAACCAGTACAGATTATTTGCTGTTCCCATACCAATCCAGATTTATTTTGGATCAGCAGCGACTTCAACTTGATTAGTACACAGCAAAGAAAAAGCAGAGCCACAGTGTCATAAACCTCTTCCTAGCAAGAATGTCAAATATATACCTTTTTTTTTTACCCTTTAAAAACACAAAACAAATTTAATGAAAAAAATTTGCCTCTCACAGTGATAGATCATGGTATATGTTAGAATTAAGGACCATGAACTTCTAATCTGAGATAGATTTGCTACAACATCCTTAATAATTTGCACACAAACTGTGTTTAAGATTAGGCGTGCACTTTTCTGAATACATTTAGAAATTGTTTGATATTTAAAAATCTTTCCCTAACAAGAAGAAAAAATCCTAAAGGTCATCTTACATTTTATGTGATATGTATTAATGCTTCTTACCCTGTTTCCTTAACTGAAGGAAAGCTTTCAACCTTGAAAAGGCAAAATACAACCAAATGCAGAATCATGTGTGTGTGTAGGAAAAGACATCAAAATCCACATGATAGCCAAGTCAAATTACAGTGACAATTCTCCCTAACAGATATCTGGCTCTAACACAGGCTTTTTTTCCCCTTTCAAATAAAATAATTCCCAAAGTTGATTTTATGAATGAGTTATTCTGCAAAGGAAGAGAACAGCATGTGGTAAGGCTGGACAACACTGCTTTAAAGGCAATGCCTGTCACCAATATGTTACAGAAGGCAAGTGTAGACTCAAAAGCGAAATAGCTAAGAAAACAGCTATTCAGCAGGTTGGAAGAGAAAAAGTTTCTGGAGGGATTTATCATCAAGCAGATGATAGTCTATTCTGCAGAAGAACTGAAATTATTTTTTACAGAGATACTTATGAAATATATTTGCATGTGAATTTGTAAATGCCACGTGCACACACACCAACATGTATATATAAATATATACAGGCATACATGAAACCCCAAACTTGAGCTAAATTAAATTGTCCTTCCAGCTTTGTAATGCAAATGAGACTAACAGGCTTGTGCTGTTTGTGGTTCGAGATGCTTTGCGTTTCCATAGAGATGCTGACTGAACCACAGTTTTTAAATTTTTTATATACATAAACCTACTTGTATCTATAAAAGTCTAAATATGGATCTGCTGTACCTCAGCATTTCCTCAGTGACTTCACTGGAACCACAACAATTTACACCAGTTAAGGCTATGTGCACATTTTGTGTCTTTCACTACTTTTCAGTTTAAGCTGTATACCAAGTACCTGCAGAGCTGAGAGTTTATTGCTTCTCTCTCTGCTTCAAAGCTTCTTGTTAAGAAAGGGGAAGAAAAGAGAAAAAGCAGTTTCTTAGCTGCTAGTAGATAATATTTCAAGGACTTCTGTAATTTCTTGCCCTCTAAACTGTGAGAAACATCTTTGTCGTTCAAAGTTCCCACTGCCAGGAAACCTGGAATTCAAGGAATACCATCTGTGTGCTGTTAGAGAAGGAAATGATAAGGGGACAGGCTTTCTGTTATGTATCAGAAGCTTTTTCCCCGTTCTCTGTGAGCACCTACAAACTCAAGAGCACGGATATGCTCAGATATGCCAAAGTGGGCCTGGGCAGCAATAGCGTCATTGTCTCCCTGCCCCACCCTTTGTGGAACCTCAGCTCATCATACACAAGGGCCCCACAAAGCTAAAACACCTCTGTCCTCCCAGAGCCACATCAGAGACGGCCACCACCAGAAATTACAAAATCCAGGCAGGATCAGCTTGGGCAGAGAAACCAGGCAGACCAACTTTTAACTTTCTATTTCAAATTGACTTCACTTTGTGAGGTATAGGCACTTGTTGAAGTGGATGGGGGCCACCCAACGTACCAACATTGGAGAGGAAAACCAGAGCCAAGCTCTGTGGGGACTCAATTCCATGTGGTTTCAGTGATAAGTGATCTTTGAACAGCGACACACCAGAGGACAACCTCTGCAATCACTCTGAACCGCATTCAAAACCAGCCTCTCGTGTGCCTCCCATCTGCCTGAGGACAGGGAGGATAAACTGTTGAACCAGAGATGTCCACAAGCTCATGAAGCAGCTCATACCCAACCTCTCACTTCATCTTGGGAGTGCCCAGAAGAAAGGCTCCAGTTCAGCAATGCCTTATGGAGGCATAGCCAGGGAGCTCCTTGGGCCACAGCATGTCACAGGGACAAAGCCTCCCTTCCCTCCCTCCCATGGGCTGACATCATGCTTCCACATGTGACACCATCTCACCACTGGAGGCTGATGGCTTTTCTGGCTCTTTTCAAACCAGATGACAATTCCCTATTTCCAGATTTTAAGAAGCCATATGTAGGGAGACCTGCCCCACACCTCTGATAGCACCGCCTTAACCCCCACCACCATCCAGGGAGTGTCCCAGGCCACGTTCAGCCATGTGACATTGTCTCCCAGGAATGCCAGTGACCACTGGCATCTCTTACCTTCTGCTGCAGGGTGGGCGCCTGCGGGGCCAGCACCGGGTCGGTGATGTAGGTCTTCTTCGTGCCCGGTGGTTGGTAGAGCCCAGGGGGAGCCTGGCCCATGGCATTACTCACAGGGTACGCCGGCTCGGCCTTCCAGGAGCTCTGAGGCACGTAGGGCGCTTCGGAGCCGTTCCTGCCGCCGTACCCCCCGTAGTAGGGGTCCTGGTAGCGACCCTGCGGAGGCGCGTATCCGTAAGCGGGCTCGGCGGGCCGGCCGGCCGGAGGGCCGTAGCCGTAGTTGGGCCCGTGGGGCTGTGGCGCTCCATACTGAGGGGCGGCGGGCTGGCGGGACGGCGCGGTGGCATAGGGCTGGCCGGGCCCCAGGCTGCCATAGTGCCCGGGCTGCGGGCTGGGCGGCTGGTAGTGCGGGCTGGGCTGCGCCGTCCTCACCTGCACGTTGAAGGCCGGGCGGCTCGGCGTGGAGGCCGTGGCGTAGGAGGCCGGCACCGGCTGCGGCTTCAGGGTGCCAACGGGAGTGACCGGGATGGGCGCTGGCTGCCCCGGGCCCTTGGCAGTGGACTTCTTGGTGGCGGTGAGGGGAGGCTGGTTGGGGATGATCATCCGCTTGTGGCCAGTGACAGGAGTGGACACGGATGGGGTGGTGGCAGCGGAGCTGCTTGAGGTCCCAGAACCCTGGAGAGCAAGGAGAGAGACACAGGGTCAGCAGGAGGGGTCACTCGGGCACTGGGGTGGAAATGGGGGTTTGCAGAAATATCTGTGCAGCAGTTCAAACTGCTTAGGAAAGCAGAAATAGGTTAGGGCCACGCATTATAGAATGGTAATAGCAACCTTCCCCTGCTCTGACAGAACAGGGACGGCACCACAGCAGCCAGGCAGAACTGCCATGCATGGCATTTCATCTCTCCTTGGAGGCTTCTCCTCCGCCTCCAAACAAACAAACAAATTAAAAAATGATACATACAAAAAAGAAAAAAAAGGGAGACTCACTAGAGGATAATTAGGGAAAACCCCATGCGTTCCTGTGAAAATGAGGCCATTTTGAGAGACAAAGAAAATGAGATTGTAGTCTCTATGGAGACATGAAATTTCTTGGGTCCCTAGAGCACTAGTAGGGTTCTGCCCCAATACAGGAGCACCTTTAACTGTGCAGGAGGCAGAAGATTGGGGTAGCCTGCAAGCAGGTCCCAGGCTGTAAGAATGAACTCTGATCAAAGCAACTCACTGAGCTGTCCCTACCCTGGCTGTACTGGTTGAAAACCTGGAGTGACCCCAGAAAAGTTAAATGCTACATCTGCTTCATTAAAGGACAGAAAGCGGGTCAGGATTTCCAAGAGCTTCAGGAGTCAGCTCCTACCATGGCAGCCATGTCACCCTGCACCACTGCCCCAGGCACAGCACTGCTGTGCCAGAGAAGAGGATCACAGCAAATGCTGTCGCTTCCTGCAATTTGGGCATGGAATGAAGCTTTTGTGCAGTGACGCCGTCTAATAGGCACTGTACATCCTTCAGTCTAATGTACTTGTTTGTCTGGCTTACCTTGCAATTAAACATTCAAAAACACCAGTGTGAAAAGACATCTTTGTTAAAGAGCTAACAATGTGAAATAGTTTCTGAAGAACACTGACAAAGACTCCTTATGTCTTTTCACTAAATCAGAGGAGGGCAAACTTGAATCTCTAGAGTTCAGGATTCGGTAAAATTTCTTGCTTCTCTATTTTTCGTTGTTCTAAAAGAGTACCTGAATTTTATGCCTTCTACAGAGAAATGCATTAAAGTGAAGACATGCAGTTTGACAGCACTTAACACCATAGTTATATGAAGTTATATCTCATTCAAACCTCCTGTAACAGGCTTGATCTCACCCATGATCTGTTTGATAATTGTCAAGTTCACAGCAGCCCAAAGGCAGACCAGCTCAGCCTTCAACCATGCTTATGCACTCCAAGGCATGTGCCACCTTTAAATGATCAACCTTGTATTTGTCCCCAGGTGCTCCTGCTTTATGCAAGCACCCTGACCTGCACCTACTGCTCCACCACCCTCTTGCTGTGGAGCGCATGGTGAGGACTCTTGGGGACATGTACATGCTGTACTGGGGCCAGAGAAATCCTGTGCCTGGTCAGCAGGTGGCGGCAATTAATTGCTGCCAAACCACCCAGAGGGGGCTGGGGGAACTTCAGCCACCCTGAGCCTCCAAGGGTTTCAAACTCACCCTCTGCATGGCGTGAGAGAAATTCATCCTCTGTACAAGGTGGCTGTGTCCCCCAACATTTGGTGACCACCTCATACAAAGAAAAAGAAGATAAGTGCAAGCCACTCAGCTTCTAGTGCACAGCCTACAAGCAAGTCCACCCAAGGGATAAGGAAACTCTACCACCCAACTGGCAGCTCTTCCCTGGTAATGTGCAAATACTTTTTTGCTGATGCACTGGTAAAGACCCTACTCCTGCAATCACACCTTCAGGGCAAACCTCCCACAAGGAAACACTATAAATCAGCAAAAAACCCCAGGCAAATAAGAGCATCAGTCAGTTCTGAGAGGTGCAAAAGGTGTGTATTCAGAAGTGGGGAATAGTAAGGCGGCAAACTTCTGCAGGAGGAAAAACATCTCAATGTATTCACACCCTGACCTTGCTAACAGATCCATGACAAGGCAGCACATAGACAGACTGAAGAGATTTTGAAAGTGAGAGCAAGGAAGAGCTGAAGCGTGTCTCAGTTGAACTGCAAGGGCAGAGACAGGTTAAGGGTCCGTAGCCCTCCATTAATACTGCCTGATTCTTCTACCTCTGAAACACCTGAAGAGAAGCTGGCACTCCTCCATCCCTGCATCAGAACACAACTGAACCAGCACTCACTGCTAGCAAGAAAACTTGTTTTCTGTCAGAATTGTTCTCCCATGTCAGGTTGGCATTTATACCTGGGAATGCCAGAAACTTTCCCATTTCCTCACCTGTTTCATTCTTGTAAATTATAGTAGTTTGTCCACTTACTGTAATGGGATGAAAGGTTCACAGTGCAGCACTGTGTAATTACCACCAGAAAAGCATTTTTCTTTTCCATGTGAAGAGGTAGAAGGTAGATAATGTTATAAAGACAATGGCCTGTCTGGGGGAGGGGGAAAGACCAAACCAGAACAACAAAAGCGAGCCCTGTTCACCACATTCTGTATTTCTGAATGCAGACTCTGGAAGCAGGTCATGACAGACACTACTGAAGCTCTTCTGATCCTATCTCAAGAACTGGGGGACTTTAATCTTACATATAAACATCCACATAACACTTCACTTAATGGGCTGATGCCAATCTCCTGCCTGGACTGGAATACACCTTACAAATGAATGATAAACCCTTCTTCCAAAAAACCCCAAACTCTCACAAATCTGTGGACTGGCACTGAGCAGCTCCCATGTTTCACACTACAGAGAGGATGAACTGGGAGTATCCCCTCCTGCACCAGATTCTAGTGAAGGAAACTGGCAATTTGGGGGGGAAGAGCCCAAACTTTGCTATCAACTCCACAGTGAAGGCCTGAGCTAACAAGTACCGGCTGCATTGTGGCATCAAACCACAGGCTGCCTTGAGGAGGAGGAAGTTTGCATCAGTAGGAGTCCCCAGAGGCGCCCTGCGTGACTCATTCTGAATTCCTCTGAGGGCACTGGGCAAGTGTGTGATGAAAGCTGGGGTTTAGGGGGGAGGTGTAAGGCTAGTTGATTTGGTGTAGCAGAGAAATAGGACAGGCTACAGGGAATTTAACACTACTGGAGCATTGATGATTTGTGGGGACACAAGTTGGTTGCAGCTCCTGTGCAAGGGCACAGGTGAGGTATCACCATAAATCCTCTGCCCTTTCGCCTGAGGGAGAGAGAGAAGGGTGGCCGCTGTCCAGCCATGCACTCAAATATCATCCCAGGCTTAAACATTAGGATTACTAATGGATTAAGAAAAAACTTCATAAATTAACAGCAACTATGGACAAGATTCCTGCTCTGAGGATGGGAATGTGTGGAAGGGTAAGAAAAGGGTACTCAGATATCACTAGAAGAGAGATTTCAACAGCTGTCTGGAAGGCACTAGGATGACAGAAGGGGCTGATGAGGCTGTAAAGATGCCAGGTAGATGGAGTAATGAACAGAAGACTGGAAGGGGCTATCTGTATCACTGGGTAAAGTCTAGCAAAACAGATGACTGTCATAAATGTGTAATCCAAGTGAATCCATAGAACTTCCACCAACACGAGGTAGACGCAGCCAAAAGTACATCGAAGTGACAGCAAAGAAACATGAAAACACGTAGAAACAGGAGAAAGAAAAAGGAGAAAGAGTGAATTCATAGGAGCACAGACATCCCTTTCTCCAGCAGGTCCTGGACAGCTCATTTCAAAACCATACTGCATTTGCAAGTGATTATCACAGCCAAACATGCTCTCTGACATCCTCTGAGGGCTGTTTTCAGAGGAAGACAGGCTTTCCTCTGCTCGCCATGCCCTAATGAAACTGTCTGACACACTTCACAAGTGCGAATTAAAACCACGCTACTTACCATCAACCCCTTCTTGCAAATTCATATTTGCAAAGAGAGTAAACTAGAAACCCCAGGTGTTGATAATACAGTCGTTAAAAGAAACTAGAATAGGAAGGAGTTAAATTCAGAACCTCAACTACCACAAGCATTATAATACAAAACCTTTTTTTTTTTTAAATGGGAAAGCACAAGAGCCCTGTTTAAACACAGATGGAAGTACCTAAATGTACTGCCTCTTCTACAAATGAATTATCCAGCAGTTCAAGTAAAGGTGAACTAATACTGACAAAATCAAGTAAAACTCAATCAAATGTGGGAGGAAAAAAAACCCCAAAACACGTCTAAAAAAGTTTACCATGTATAACCATGAGGGGAATAATTTTGCTTCGCAAATCCTGCCTTGTCTTCTTAAATGCAGAGGAGGATTATAAATATTTTCAGGAGTTTCTTGTACCAACCATCATAGGAAAAGTCTATGGCATTGTCATAAAATCACACTGTCCAAGGGCTATGTCTGTCAGAGCTGGGTGTCTGGATTCAAAGCTACCCTGGTGGGTTTCCCCAGTGGGGAAACCCAAAATCCTGAGTACCTTTGATTCTTTGTCCTGTAGAAATTATTTACATAGATCTTAAATTAAATTCAATGTACATCTACAACTAAAAAGTCATTGCACAGGTACTAGGGATGAAATCTGTTGTTCTACAGAAATTAACCTGTAATTCTTTACCATTTGTCAGGTTAAATTTTACAAAGAGTATAATCACAGTCTACAGCGTGAGCATGATTCTATATGATCAGCTGGAATCCATATGAAAAGGACCTCATTCTTTTACTTTGCACATTTGTAGAATTATTTTTATAAAATCCCTTCAGTTACTCAAGTTTCAGAGACTGAATCAAAAATGCCAATACAAAGTTTATCACATTCTATTCAATTCTCCAGACATTTTTTCATAAAGGTACAGTTGAATAGCTTTAGCCCTTTAGCTGTCAAATTATCACATATAAAGATACATTACTCCAGCTCAGTGATTTTCAACCTTTATGCTCTGCAGTCACCAAATGTTTTTCAGAGACAAGCTCCTTTATGGAGAAAGTTAATCTATTGACAATAAACATGGGTTTTTCAGTTACCTTTCATTGAATT